ATCAATTGTGAGTTGCATGTCATTTTCTGTGTTTTCCAATGTGAGATTGCCACTTTAAAATGTCTGGTCTGCTGTGACTTTAAACTGCTGCACCTTGAGTCTGGAGGAGTAAAAGAGTAATTAAAAAATATTTGAAAGTTTTGTGGGTATACTGAAGAAGAAATATATGATTTTAAAATTGGATTCACTGATATTTTTCCCCCCGAAACTTTGGTTGGGTGGGGAAAAAAGCATGTTGGTTTGAAACTATTTCTGGACGACTTAAATACTCAAAGCGTTTATATATCCAGAACTGGCTGTTTTCTGTAGTATTTTTCTCTTTTAACATGTGATCTTTTGTAAAACTAATTTGCAGATAGCTAGAAATCAGCCTGAAAAAGCCAAATTGGTGCCCTGTTTTTATAGAAAACTGTAAGATTCTCATCTGTCTCTTGTTCTTTACAGAAATCTGAGGCAAAGATGGAGGAGATCTTGAAAGAAATCAAATCCCTCAAGGACCTGATCAGCAGTCAGGAGAAGCGAATCATCAAACTTGAAGAGCAGATGTCCAAAGTTGCCATTTAGGGGCCATTTATCCCCCCATCCCACTACAATTCAGGACGTTCCTTTAGCTGGGGACTTCAGGGTGCGCGGGAGCGGTAATCCTCTGTCTTTCTGACGGCGTTTGGTCTGAATCCTGCCAGCCAACGATCCCCAGCAACATTCCAGATGAACTTTTTCTTAGCCAGATCCCAACCCTCAGTCTAACACAGGTGGAATAAGAAGGATTTGGTAAATTTAGCAGAAAGTACTTTTGCTTTTTGATGAAAAGAACATTCCTTTTATTCTGTTTCAGTCTTTTATTTCCCCTAGCTGATTTAAAAAAGAGGTCTTAATTCGTCTCATTTTAGACTGACCAAATCGACAACAGTTCCGCTTTTTCTGATATCTCTTCATTTTTAAGTAGGTGCCAGTGTTTTGTGTTGGCGTGTCCCAAAACGAAAATGTTGCCAAATTTAAATTGTGTTTACACCTCCTGAACAGTATTTTCTTTCCCTTTCTGCGAGACTGTTTTAGACTCAAACAGTGAAGTTTGGTGAAGTGGACCGTTTATATAAAGAGGAGAATTTAATCATTTTACTACTATGAAAACGGGTAACGTAGCTGTAAAATGATTGAAATTTAGATGCCGGTTAAAGAAAAGGCCTCCCAGTTTTTCAGTCAACATTAAACATTGAGATAATACCCCAAATGACAAATCCCTTGTCTTAGTTAAACCTGCACAAATCTATCCCTGCTTTCTTTTCCATTGACCTCCATGTAGACATGCATACCTTTCCTTCCCGCTACATTCACATGAACTCTGAAATTTTTGTAGAAAATCACATTCCACTGATTTTATCATGAAAGGACCAAAAAAAGTTCCCGCCTCCTCTCTCTGTAAACGGTCTGCTGTAGCGGCTCTGGTCACCTAGTTCATGCTTTATGTGCTGCACATAGAAAGAATAAGAAGAGCTTTTTTTCTTTCGTCTTTGCCACAAAAACGGATTTGTCTTTGTAGGACCTGCAGCTTCCAATCTCAGTGTTTGTGGTAAACGGTCTTGCTAAACCCACATGTAGTTAGTTTGTTTTCTGTGTAATTAGAGAAGAAAAAACACCAACAACAAACTGATTTATTTCAGAGCATCTTATGATAAAGGTGGATATTATAGAAGAAGCTGTTCATGGTGAAAATCACGGGTCCGGATGTCCCTGCTTTGTTTCCAGCTCAAAGCAAAATGAAGGTCCATTACCTGCCTATAATTTGGGAAAAAACGAACAGCTTGGATACCGCTTACCTGTTTTTTTTTTACTATTATTCTGTTTCTTGTTCCAGCTGTGCTTGTATCCCTCTTAGCACTTCCACTTTTTAAATCTTGTGAGTTAATTCTGTCCTTAAATCAGTGTAGTTATTCCAAATACCAGAACCATTGGATTGTCCAACTGGAGTCGTTGCGGTCCAAAAGAAGCTCTATTTTTCTGAGGTTTTAGATTAGTTTCCCAGTGGGAAGCTGAGACGGGTTAATGGTTCAGTCTGTTGTTTGCCTTTGTTAATTAACACTGTACAGACCTGAAAGTGCCATAGAAGAAACTCTGAAAGTGTGTGTTGGAGGTTGTGTAGTGAATGGACGAATTGAAAGGTGCCTGGATTTTAAAACCACTTTGAGGTGCTATACTTTGTACTGACCCCCTGTTCCTAAAGTGCTGATGACACCACCGAGTCCTGCCAGTCATTCCGACACGTACACCAGGCAGCGTCTTCGCTCTCCGTTCAATCTGAGCATTGAGCCACTGACATTCTGGCGTTTTTCTTCTTGGTACGGGTATAAAAATCTTTTTTAAATTGATTTCAAACCAAGAATTTTGCGGCTGTAGCACGGCCGTGGAAGTCAGCGGCCATCGGGATGCACTTTGAGCAGCGAGTTGTACATAACAGGAAATCTAATGAGGCTGCCACTCCGTAGATTTTTATAGCATGGTTGGTGCAAAAACTTTAGTATCTACCAGCAATCCAAAGGGATAATGTAGGTGGAAGTGGCGCTGAAAGATAGGTGTATGTTTGTAATTAAGGTTTAGAAAAATGAGTGAAAGCTGGTGTAAATATGATCAGGAATCATTGTTTTTTTTTTTTGTGGTTGTGCTAAAGAGGGTGTTTGTATGGGTGATGGGTTTTAAACGTCTTCCCCCTCCCCTCCTGTTTTGTGTTCCTTGCACCTTTGCCCCCGTACCACCATAAGAGGAAAGCAGAACCTCCATCGCATATGAAAAATGAGAAACTAGATCAGACAAAAACCAACCAGGACGAAAGCCTCGGTGAGGTCTGCTCAGCTTCTTTTGTTCATTATCCTTGCTTCAAATATTGGACATTGATTATAAGAAAATTAATAAAGAATTTTTAAAATGAACTCGCTGCTGATTTTGAATTGAGTGGGATTGGTGGGCTTGATAAGAAAAGGCCTGCATTGATTTCAGATTGTAACCGTTTGAATCACCGCAGGACGTTTCTCACACTCCGTATTGTCAAAAGTGTTTACTTGTCTTCCTAAACAAACATGAAATAAGATCACTGGGATCTGATGAAGCATGTTTTAGACAATTATGAATAACATTTTATACCCATTAAGTAGTTAGTGGTATGTTAGACAGCAGTTATGAGGCACAAAATATCATTGCAGATGATCTCCGGTTGTGACGAAGAAGCCATCTTCCATTCCTGGGATGAAAATAAACTCTGGATGCCAAATGGACACGTAAAACGGGAACTAGTAAATAAAGCATCGATCCGTCTCCTAGAGTAAAAGAATGAGTCATAAATAATTTGAGGGAGGATAGACGAGAGCTGTGACGGTACCTCCAGCACCCTCTAGTGGCAAAACTGTGGATTGATGACTTTTTTTAACGTTCTTGATGAGCATGATAAAAATGTTAGATTTAGAAAGTTAAGCTGAATATGAGTAAAGTAAAAAAAAAAAATCTTTATTTAAACAGGCTAGTGAGGCTTTTGGCATTGACCTGACCAGCTGCCAAGGCCTTGCAAAGGTGTTTAATCTCCTGGTATGTTCTTTCATTTTAATGACCAAAGAACACACAAGACAAGTCAGAGATGAAGTGTAGTTTATAAAATGTCTCAAGATTTAGATGTCGATTTGTTTAAGCTAAAGCAAACCTACCACGACATGGCCGTCCACCTAGACTGACGGGCAATCAGAGCATTAATCGCAGAAGCAGCAAAGATTTCCTGACGACCTGTCCTGCAGAGATCTGCAGCTCAAATGGACGTATTTCAAGTAATATTTGTTGTACACTCCACCAGTCTGGCCTTTATGGAAGAGCTGCATTTGCAATTAGCCATGGAGGAAGGTGCTCTGGCAAGATGAGACCAAAATAATCTTTGTAGCTGATACGCATGACTGTGTGGTGGAAAACTAACATTACACATCACCTTGAACACAGCATCCTAGTTGAAACAAAGAGGTGGCAGCATCATGATGTGGGATTACGTCCCTTCAGCAGAGACGGTGAACCAGGAAGTTGGGTAAGAACAGAGCAAAAGACTTGAGCCTGGTGTTTTAGTTCACCTTCCAGCAGATCCAACACTCCAAGCCTACAGTCAGAGCCACAGTTAAAGGGTTTACAGATGAGAGTATAGTTTGTGTTTGGCCCAGTCAAAGTCCAGACCTAAATCTGCACTGAAATTGTGACATTTTGCTTCAATAAATGAGCGAAGATCTCAGTCTCCAGCTGTGCCAAACTGCTAGACCCATTTCACACATTCAGTTGTAGCTGGAGCGGAAGATGGTTTTCCACATGGAACTGACTAAATGTGGATAATTACAAATATGTGGAACATTTTTCTAATTTGCTTCATTTTAAAACGATATTTTAGTATATTTTTAAAAAAGTGTTTTAAACTAAAGGCAAAAACTGATAACCAAATGGCTCGTTTTCTGCGAGGCGGTAAATCACTGCTCAGTACCTAAAGTTGAGGTCTTGTGAAAGAATTAATTTCAATCAGAGGGACATGAACAGCTTTGAACAAAAGCCTTTCATGTTCAAAGGTAAGGACGCCAAAATGGTCCTTAAGTTTATATGTTCACTTAGTTTGGTGTGTTTTTGGGAGGAAACTGGTGCTTTTTCTTCCCTGTGCTGCCTTCCAGAGTAAGGCTGTAATCACCACGGTCTTAATTAGAAAGGACTCGGTGGGAGGCAGGGACTGTTTGGTCAGACTCGCCCCAACAAAACCAGAAATAACCATTTCTGCTAAAACACGAGACCTGCGCACCTTCTGCAACATCACTGCAGCTGCTAGGGTTAAAGTGCCAGACAAACTTTGGGTTGAAGAGAAAAACGCAATGTGCTGAAATAAACACATTATGTAAAAATTTTTTTTAAAAAATCTTCTTTTTATGCTAAGATAAGAAATCAGTATTATAGACAGACTTGATTTTAAAAAGGAAAGTAAAATTCCAAAATGGCTCCTGCATAAAATTGGATGGATCCTGAGGATGGAAAGCTGAGAACGAGGGAGGAGACGCTGAGGATGGAGGGCTGGGCATCGTTTTGCTCCGAGGAGACATTTTAAAGCTGAGTGAAAAATCTAAGTATAACTTAGCAGGGAGGGGTGGAATATCCTCACTCTCTCCTTCTTGTTGCTTTGTCTCTTCTCTTTTTTTATCAGTCCGAACCCTTCTGCTCTGCATCTGCTTCCCAGTCAGACAAACGAAGGAGATTCCTTCTGTAAGTATGTCATTAACATTTATATTTAACTTACAAGCACAGATAACGGTAGCTTCATTTGGTCATATGTGTCTTTTTCAAGCTTACTTGTGTTTTTAAAGATTAAAAAAAATTGCTTTCTTTACTAAAATGTGATGTTATTTAACATAATACATCAATTTTATTTAAAACATATGTAGATATTAGTTGTTGCTATTTATTATGCTACATATTCAACATTTTGGTCTGCAAATCTTTTCTCTGTATTAAATAATTTAATATTTGTCCCTTTTATCAGATTCTCAGGTTTTGTACTGATGATTTATTTGCAGACTGTGTGTAGTTTCAACGAATCTTTTAGATAATTACTGATAGTTTTATAGACTTTTATGTTCGAAGACGGGCCTTTTAGCTCCTCACATCAAGGATAGGTCAGGTCGCTTTGCCTTTTCCAAAGAAATATTGTGGTGCTCTTTGCTTGGTGGCAAATCTATTGTCAACATCCTAAAAATACTTAATAGTTGCGAAACTTATTCACAAAGTTAAAGAAGTGTCTAAAATGTCAATGTCCATCTGTGGTTTTCCTGAGAAAGGTAGTAACCATCTGCCCATCTCATTTACACCGACATGTCAACCCGTATAACTAATAACTAAAAATATGCTTGATTTTGTTCTGGTTGTCCTCTTTGTTTTTCAGGAAACAAACATTTTTATTATTCGCTCTTGCTCCTGAGACAACCAGACATTTAAGCAGCGCTCTGATTAATCATAGTGAAGGAGCTTTATAGTATTTTCCATTCTTTCTACTGAATGTTCTCCAGCTGGGATCATGTTTCCTGTCCATCGGCTGCAGCAATTTGTTCAAGTTCAGTAAAATGTTTTAAGTACAGACTCACTTTTAGAATCAGACTCACACAGGAACCAGTAAATGAAATTTTCATTGAAACTTTGTTTACTTAATATGAAAAGGTGCAGTGTCATTTAATTTCAAACATAAAAAGTATTTTTTTTTGTACATTTTTTTTTACAACTGACTGAATGTCCTCCAATAGTTGGGATTCCATTTCTTTTTCTTTCACCAGGTGTTGAAATCATTTAATGTTAGAAATGTTAGAACTGGAAAAACAGAAGATCAAACTTTGCAATTATGGCTTAAAATTATATATATAAATATCCAGCTCTGGAAAAAAATTAAATGATCACTTGCTCTGGTTTTACTTTTCATAGGTTTGTGTTTTGAGTAAAAGGAACATCGTTCTTTTATTCTATGAACTGCTGACAACATGTCTCTGAAATTCCAAGCAAAAATTTCGTTTTTATTTGCAGAAAATGAGAAATGGTCAAAGCAACAAAAGAGAAGCAGTGCTTTAAGAGCACAAATAATGCAAAGAAAACAAATTAATGTTGATTTAGAAACAACAACACTAATGTTTTAACTCAGGAAGAGTTCAGAAATCAATATTAGGTAGAATAACCAGGTTTTCAAGGGCTTTCAGTGCAGTGGGCTCTTAAGTTTTTCCAGAGCTGTATATGTATCTATATATATATTTTTGCTGGTGATGTTTTTATTATTATTAATATTATTATTATTATTATTATTATTATTATTAGTGGCAAGAATAAGACTGCAAGTAGTTCATATCTCAACCTAATCAAAATTTGAATCACAAATATAAGAGGGAAAAAAAAAGTTCAACTTGGCTTCATCATGCAAAGCTGCTTTTGGGGAATATTAGAGCTTCACTGATTTTCATTTTTCACTTCCAAAGAACTGACGCTGTCAGGAAAATTCACAAGAGGTGCTCCGAATATTTAAGTTGTTTTTTTCTCAACTTGATGTACAATTTTAAAGTTACATTTTTGAAGTACTTTGCACAAAACCAGAGTGATCATCTGTTAAATAGTTTCATGTTTTTGCAATTGATTGAACATCTTCTAAAAGCTGCGGTTCCCTTTCTGAGTAAAATTATTGAGACTGGAATAAATTAAACAAACTTCAGATAAATCTGTTTTATAAATACAGCCCTTTGAATAGTATTTAGATTTTCTAGCCCCTCTACGTTCATCTTGAAGATCATCTAGAAGATGACCCCGAATGTAACACAACACCTCTGTTGTGCTCCCTTGGGGGCTTGTGGAAAACTTTTGATTTTTTTTTTTCTTTCAAAAATGACTTTCTTCTTCCACAAAGACTGGAGACAGATTCTCCCACCTGAGCTGTCGGTCTCTGCAGTTCCCCCAGAGCCACCACAGGCCTTGTGGCTGCTTCTCTGGTTGCTGGTCTTCTTGTTAAGCCTCTCAGTTTAAGTGGGCAGCTGTCTTGGCACACAGCTTACACAGAGCTGGGCTCTATCTACAACTCCGATCTGGGAAGTTAAAGTGGACTGAATACAAATACCTGATGTGATTTTAGGTTTTTATCCGTAAAGATGATTTTCTTATAGTACCCAACCATGCACAACTTTGTGTCTGTCTCTACCATGAAATCCAAATCAAATAACTCTTCAGGTCTGTAGCTGTAATGCGCCAAAAAAACAAAACAAAAAAAAAAACATGGAAAGCTCAACTTTTCCAACTGACACGACGCGACCGGTCGCGTAAATCTTACGTCTGTGACGGCGTGGAAGCGCCTTAGAAGATTTAAATGAACTCTGAGGAAACTGAGCATTGTCCTATCTGATCTCTGCATGTTCTAATCTTACGTGGTGACTGAGTGGTAATCTCAGCCCCGTGGAGATATTTTGGAAACGTAAATTTAGCTGTAATTGCCAGACTCAAGACGCAGAGCGGTCATGTATGGCTGTACATCCAAGGATGAATACCCAGCCCACCATGTGGTCCAGCAGAATACACACTGCATGTTTGACCACACAAGCAGCGGAGGGCTTCGCACTGCTGCGCCACGACGAGCAGCAGCAGCTTCGCTCCAGCGCGATGCTGATTAGAGGCTTGTTTTCATAGCTTGGTGCTTCATAATTACACGCCAGATTAGGAGGAAAAAAATGTTGCTAAAATAATGGCAGCTGGAGTTTTCCTTATTAGCGAGAGAAAATTCAGTGAAAACCCAAGAGGCACCGTTTGGTTGGGGGAGTTTATTCAGTCAGTTGGCCTGTTTCACAAACACAGGTTTTCCTGGAAGCAGAAATATCTCCCTCGGGCCTGAGCTGCTGTGGGCGGGTGTGCACCAGCTGGTGCCCGGTGTAAATATAGAGGCCACAGCCACAGGTCTCCCACGCCTCTGTGCTCCCACTGGAATAAAGCTTCCTTCTGGCTTTGGTGTGGTGGATGGGTGGCCTCCCTCTACTTTACAAATTATAAGGCCAAACTTTGCCGTCTCCACCCCAAATAAGTAATGGCTACTCTGGAGTCGGCTGAAATAGATCTGGTGCAAAAGCAGGGAGAGGCAGAAAACACGGACACACCAGAGATGGAGGGAGAGTTCTTCACGGAGAGACGTCTCACAAAAACATTTAAATCTAGATGCACAAGGCATCTAGGTCTTTGGTAGCAAAACAGAAGCTTCGTTATTATATGATAGCGGGTAAAAATCTTTGGTCATAGTAAAGATAAACACGTTAGACCTTCATTGTCCCTCTGAGGGTAAAATTAATCTCACCTTTCTTTTGTGTTTCATTTCCTTCAACGATTTAATTGTTCCTTAGTTTTTCTGTCGACTCCTTCATTTTCTGGCAGAAATTCCTGTTGACTTCCATTTAGATACTCGGGATTGTCATATAGTCTGGATAAACCAACGCAAATGTTCTGTCCACCATTTTCAGGAGAATTGAGTACTGATCTAAAAGTGTTTCAGTAACTTTTTTTTTTAAAGCTCTTTAAATAAGGATTTAAGGATTTTTGTCAAACCCTTTTTTATTTTAATTCCGTCGTTGATTTAGTTGTGTTGCTTGCATTTACTGCTTTAAATTTGACTCTAGAAATCAGTTTTCTTGTGTACGTTTTTAAATTAAAAAAACAACAACAACTGATTTTGCCGTTGTTGTAGGACCCGCCGTTGACGATGAAGTCCCAGCTGGTTTTTCCCGTCTCCAGCGCCGCTCTGCTCTGGCTGTGCTGCGGCCTGTGCCGCTGCAGTCCTCTGTTCTACAACATATCTGTGGACGGCAGCGGCGACGAACCCGAGCTGGAGCTCATTTTCCCCACCTCCTTCTCCACACGAGCGCCCGTCGAAGTCTCTGCTGCCACTCCGCCTCCCAGCCTCACCAACACCATCACCACCACCATGATCCGCCTGAAAGACTTTGTCCTGAGCCGAGTGGTGGACTTCCTGCAGGAGAACCTGCTCATCATCATCGTTGTCACCTCTCTTCTCATTGTTTTGGTCTTCATCATTTGCTGTGCGTTCGCCATGAGCCATAAGCGCAAGCTGGAGGCTTACAAGCCCCTGTCCAGCCCGCCCAGGAAGTACGCCGCCAGTAAAGCCGGAGCTCGCAAGAACTCAAGCGAGCTCCAGGAGAAACCGTACGCCGTGGACCACGTCAAGAGGGTCCACGTTCAGGGTCCGGCTTCCCCCAAGCATCTGCGCGTGCCCTCCAAGGCGCTGGTGGGAGACAAGGGAAGAGACGTCGTCAGGTCGTCGCCTCGACAGGAGGCCAGGAAGGTCGGAGGCACAGAGGAAGTGGAAAAAAGGCGGGAGGAAGTGAAGTTCAAAGAACCAGTGAAGCAAAGGGAGGAGGTCCAGAAGAGCGCCAGCTCCAGTCACCCGGTCTGCACCTGCCACCTGAAAAAATCCAACCACTAACACACAGCCGAGCCAAAACGGGCCAGAGTGTCACTCAGAAGGGAATGCGTTCAGGTGGAATCACACCTGCTATGAAAACGTGCATAAAATCGGAATAAAGTCCAACAAAAGACAGAAAGCTGAGTGTCTTACTGAGCGGGTCTGTAATTAATCCACAGCGCCTCAGCGGGTTTCATTATCAAGATTAAAGAAAAAAAAAAAAAAAACAGAACCTCTATATATTTATGTGAGGGAAATGAAAAAGCTGTGCAATTTGTAAACAATGCAAATGGGAAATCCTAATGACAAGTAAGCGAATGGATACAAAATGGGTGGATAATTATGTGCATAATGTGTATGAATTCATGCACACAGCAGCACCCTCCACAATTACTCATGCCTCTAGTTAAGATGTGTGGAAGATCTGTAAACTTGTCAAGCCTCGTTTTCCACTGATCGTTTTTTTTTTTTTTTGCTTGTTTTTTTTTTTTTGGGGGGTTTTTGTTACAGCTCCGTCTGCAGATATCGACACATTCAGGAGCGTAACTATTTTTATTTTAGCCATTTCCTAACTAATGAAGACCAACACACATCTGCCTTGCTTGAATGAAATGCTGTCTTGTTTTTCCCCTTTTGAAGAATGGCAGAGAGAAAAAAAAAAAGCTCCTATAAACGAGGTCATATTCATACCTCAGGGAAGTGCTACAAATTACTAAATGAAACTTCATAAAAACTCTGATCAGCTGAAAAAAAGTAAAGTATAAATAAGACAATGCTTCAGGTTTTACAGATGCAAATAACTATAACACCTTTAGTTGTATTTAAAAAGACATTTTTATTCCTTATTCATGATCTCCCACCATGGAATAAATTCTGCCAAATTAAAGATTGATTTTTATTTATTTATTTTTTTACATTTTTCAGGTGATATGATGCATTTTGTAGATGAATTCATTTAAGAGTTTCTACACCAGGCGGGTCAATAAACACGGAGTGCAGTGTGATTACAGTACATATTCTACATCAGGCTGATGCTTCTCAATACTTTGCTTCATGAAACCACATCACCATTTATTACTTACAAGGCAGACATGTGATTTTTCTAAATGTTACTTGACGGGACTGTGATTTTAAAAGATCATCGTGGCCAAGCAGAGGTTTTTCATGTGGGGGAAAGTTTTACCCCAACCAGAAAATCTCCGCTTTGTGTTGGATTTTTAAGAGCTTCAGAGCTGAACTAGCCACTCAAAGCAACGCCTTTGGCGACGTAAATAAACACATAAATGCCAGTAAACCTGACTTGATGAGCAACAATTATTCTTTTCTTTATTAATATTAACTTTCATATTTACCTCTACTTTAGTGTTGTTATATCTGGTGTCTTGTTGTATTTTGTTTCAGAACCCAGTCAGAAAACCAACATGAAGAATTGTCATTAATTTTATAAAAAAAAATAAATAAATAACTAAAAGAGAAAAATATTTTTATTTTATCCTTCATACGTTTATCGGTGTTTTTGTTACCTGCATTGTCACATGGAGGGATGAAAAATAGAAATGATAGGGTTCGTTATTTTATATTTATATATTAACGTCTGCTTTTCTGTCTTACTGTAAAGAATAATAAAAAAAAAACTGAGTCAGAAAGTTAAGTGATTAAATGGATTATATTTACACCGAGCATCTAAACTTAGATAAATTTGTGTGTTTTGTAGGTTGTCGTTTTGTCACGCTGAAACTCTCTGTTTTATCCGAACCTCTTTCTCTGTGACATTCTACAAAATGGCAGAGGTTTGTTTTGCTAATGTTTAATAAAACTAAAGAAGGACGTGTGCTTGTCATTCTTGTCTGTGCTGCTACTCAACTAAAAAAAAAAAAAAAAAAGAAAAAGAAAAAACGCAGCCCTGAAGACATAAAATTAGGAAAGACAACAAGGTCCCAAAAATAAAGGACGACTTTCTACATAAACATCACGTTCCTCTGAACATCTGTAATTTGGAGCTGCATCCACTCAGGGATCACAGATGACTGCTTTACGCAAACAAAAGGTTCATATAATATCTGCTGCGACAAGGCAGAAGATCTCCTTTAATTTTGCTGACACGGCAGGAAAGCCTTGAATTGGCCGTCGACGCCGCAGCTGTAAAAGCGGGAGAGCAGAAGACCGGATTGGTTTCTGGCGCTGACGAGACGGTCCTTTGTTCCCACCGGCTACTGTACAAGGTTCTTTAAATATTTCAGCAGATGTAACCCAGATACACACACGCCTCCTTTTGGCCCCTGTATTGTCTGCACAAACGACACACACTGATTTGTTCCAGTTTAGGGTTGCAAACAAATAAAGTGGCTATTAGGCAACACGCAGCATCCTCTGGGAATATTGACAGAGGCTGGTAGATGTTTTGAAAAGATATTCAACTAAACTATTTTCAGTTGCAATTAACTGCAATGGAGTGTCTCGAAAAAGTTGGGAGGCTGATACTGTGAATAAATACACGCTTTGTGAGTAAGTTTGTAACTGTAAATAATCCTGCAGCTTCTTGTTTCTCGGGGATTTAAAGACGATGAAACACGGAGGCTCATATGCCTCAGCTTCCTCCTCCAGAGGGGAAGACGAGAAAACATGCCACTCAAGTGAGGCAAATTACTGTCGAGCTGCGTGAGTCACAAAATTGTCAGAGGAAAAGAGCCGTTTACCCTAACTGGACGATGCTTATGGCCAGAGCAATCATTACAGAGAGTTAAAATAACTGTAATTGTAATAAACAACACAAGCTGGACCCGAGGCTGTCCTGTCACCATGCAGTGGAGGATGGTAAATAAATCACAAAGTTAAGCAAAAACACCTGGTCACAACAATCATTATTAAAAAATAAATAAAAGTTTGGTGGATGACTGGTAATGCTGCATTATTATTTATTTTATTTTATTTTTTTTATCATAAAGGCTTTTCCTTATAATGCATCAGGAAGTTTTTGAATTGTGCTTTTGGCTATTGAATTGTTCTGAACTTAAATGGATTTTTTTTTTTTTTTTTAAAAAGAAGAAGAAGAAAAAAAATACTGCCCCCGTGTGACTAATTCAAGCACTGACTTTTCCTTTTCTCTCTCCCTCCCCCCCACAAGTTTCACCATTTGTCTTTGTGATGGGATTACATCTGATTTATATATAAACTATGAAAGTAAATCTGATCTGAGTCATGAGCAGGTTAAAACATCAGAGATCAAAAATAAGATGACAGCAACTCACAATCAAAAAGCAGCCAGGTTGGCAGGAAACGTGAGCCCTGACAGAAGCCACGGGTCAGATTCCCTGCTCTTTAGCCGGCAACGCTCTAAATAATTCGAGAAAGTACTCCCCCTTCACTTTCACTCCTCCCATCAGGTAGCAGGAAACACAGAAACCTTCTCTTGTTAAGGAGCCCCGCTCGTGAGAATCAGTGTGTTGGATTTTTAACGAGCCCGGCCTGCAGAGACCTCAGCTATAGAGGACACCTGAGACGCACAGACCTTACTATTCCTTTCTCAAACTGATTGTTTTCATGTTGTTGCCTGCCTCTGACAAACAATAGGACCTCTCAGTCAATGTGCATGGTGAGGAGGATCCAGAAGAGGTAACAGAGCACCTTGAGGCGCTCGTGAAACTTTGATGAGAGTCCGGCTGGAATTTGGAGCAGCAGTGGTCATCGTTAAAGACAGAGGATCACAGGCCCCTGACCGTCCCTACAGAGGAGCAAATAATCCCAAAGCAGGATAATGGTGAGTTCAGCCAGAATTTAGCTAAATGGGCAGCATTACGGTCAATCCCAGCCATGTAGTGTCATATTGTAGCACAATCAAGTGATTATGTTACCTTCAGTTGATATGAAAATGCTACACTTGTCAAACGTGACTTAAAAGAAATTTGACTTTGTGATTTAACATCTTAAAATTGGGCCTCTGTTTCTGTAAAACAGATTAAAGTAATTTAAATAAAATAAAGTTGTGAGTTGCCAGATTGTGAAAAGAAAAAAAAAAAGGTCAATCACTATACAACTATATTTCAGTGATATATTCAACTTTTTTTTTTTAATTAATTCATAAGCTGAAAAAAAATCAAAGATTCTCTTTGGAAAGAGGTGGTGAACTGCTACATGTTGTGACTGTAAATCTGAATTTAAGCACGGCGCATGATCTGAAAGAGGAAAAGCAGAACCAACAGTGGATGAGTCAGGAGTTCATATTTCTGTCTGTGACGAAGCTGCTGCAGGTGGAGGGACATTTTCTTTAGTATCTGTAATGCAAAGATTCAAACCAACTTTCTGCACGGTGCTTCTTTTTTTTTTTTTTTTTTTTTTTACGCTTTAGATTTATATCTGTTGAAAAACAGCATCTGGAGTATAAGTTTATAACCTGGCAGTAAAATTTGGTTTCAGGAGTAACTTTCTCTATAAAACAGCTCACTTTATTTTAATTTCTTGGCTTCTCATTGACGTTTTCTTTTTGCTTTGGTGCCAAAGAGACTTGATTCATTAAGAAAAAGTTGATTGTTTCTATATTAACATTCAGACATTATAGTATTATCTCCATGTTGCAAAGTCAGCCAGCTGGAAACTCTGCTAGGTGAGAAATCCCTGAGGTCAAATGTCTCCTCCTGCCTGCAGTGGCTGTTCTTCCATTTCTTAGAGAGGCATTCATTCTGTTTGCAGCAGAAAGACAAATGTTCAGGACTGGCGGTGACTGACTTGTGTCAGAGTAGAGACTCTTCAATGTTTTCATATTAGATCCAGCACTAACTCTAGCACATTTTATTAGGATTTGTCACGGTAGGCCAACTCAAAGCAGCGCTTCACTGCGGAAGAAGAACAAATATTTTTCCAACAGTCTCATTTGTGCATTTGTGTTCCACGTTAATCCCCAAATAAAGGCGTCACCTTATTGGTAAACAGAGACCAAGGAACTCAGCGGACAGGTCAGAGACAAAGTTGGAAGGCCGACGGTGACTCTGGAGGAGTTGCACTTCTCCAGAGTCACCGTAAGTTTGATGTGAATTGCTCATGATGAGTGGCAGGTCTTTAAAACTTTGACAGGACATTTCCAGATCCTTCCCCTCACTGCCTCCTTGAGTGAATAATTGATGAGGAAGGGATCCTCTGACGATCATCACACAGTCACCATATGTCAACAGACTGGATCCGTCCTCTAAATGTTACATTTTCACGCAATCTGTCAGGGAGAAGTGTG